AAATGTTGGCCGAACATGTTAAAAAAAGTACAGAAACAAAAAAACTGGAATATGTCTTCGTGCTAAGTATACCAACTGTGCTAATTATGTTTCACATTCCACAGACAATCTTCATGCACCAATCTTAGCACGTGGTCTGCTGGTTATGTATGATCTTAATCCCTCTTTTTTTTGGGATACTGTTATAAAATCCATCTAATTAAAAGTGTACCTCTAAAAACATGTATATATGTGTTTAATTTAATTCATGAAAGTTATCTGATCGTTAACAAGTTTTGAGGCATGACTATTCCCTCCATTTGGCTCTGTCTACCCCTGCTCCCTTCACCTGCCCGGACCGGAGACCCCCCTGCCCCCCCCCACCGGGCCTTTGGACGATTCGGTCATCTGCCTTGTGCTCTGCTGCTCAGGGCTGTTGTGTTTTACATCTATAGTACGGTACTGTATATTGCATCTACAATTGATTGATTGTTGAAGCACGTAGGACAAACATCTTCCTTATACGTTTGGTGAACCTTTCAGCCTTCCGCTTCTTTTGCATGGTGATACAGACTCTGATTAATCTGTACACTAGTCATGTTGACAGTTTTGTTGAATTGTAAATAATATATTGAAGTAAGGAAATTCTAACTTCTGCTTCATGTCCATACCGTGCAGGTAATCACGTTCCCACTTGCGTTTGAGCATCCTTTATAATAAATAAATCCTAGGCTTCCTTGCATGAGGATTTTCTTCCTGCCAGGTGATTGGCTGGTGCAGTGACGACAAAACCACCCGAGCCACCGCTGCCACGCCCCGCAGAGATGCCATAACAATAATAGCCATTTTCGAATTCGGTATTAAAAAAAAGATTTCAAGAACCGCAATGCATGTGAATATGAGCCGGTCGTTAATAAATAACGTGAAGCAGTCCTTAAAGAGCCACACGTGGTTCTGGAGCCGCAAGTTGCCGATCCCTGTACTAGGACATCAGCATTTCTTTTGAAATGTTTTCTCTGAATTCAATAAAGTCATTGCCATCGGATTTTTGACACGTTTTACGAGCACTTTCTATTCCCCGGCCTCTGGTTATAAATAAGGGAAATTGTATTATGTCTGTGTATCCATCTACGTCTCGTACAACACATTTATGAGCTATCAGCGATTCATGGCCCTGACTGCAGCAGCCTTTATTTGCCTGCAATGTCGTGCTGTGGTTAGACTACCTTTGCGGTAAACCAGTTTAATAGTATCCAAGAATGTCTCTCCACCACATTATCCACTAAGCTAGTGAGGAATGGACATAAGCAGCTGGGTGACTTTTACAAGTGTAGATCATTGCGTGCAGATGCGTGTGTGGTAGTGTATGCCTGGTGAAGGACCCTACTGGGCAGTTGGAGGCAGTCGCCCTCCAACAGCAATGGAGGGCAGAGGAACGACGCTCGCAACAACGAGCGGAGCGCCAGACGGCTAGAGTGCAGCAAGTAGGCATTGTAAAGGGCGTGGTGCATCTGGCAGTCATCTCAGTGAAACCATTGCACCTCGGTCTGTCCTGTGACGACCTGTCAGCGAGCCTTCGACACTTCACGTGGCCTCAAAGTGCACCTGGCCTGGCACAAGCGCCGCAATGATGTCATCGCTACTTAATGGCGAATGGAGGCTGTTGGCTGTCGTTGGTGGCCTGTAACCTGGTGACTTTGTAACAGGTAGACTCCAAGTACGAGACACATGCACATCAACGGGGCACCTGTAGGGGGCAGCATATCAAGCAGGTTGCTGATTTGTCCCTGAGTTTGGTATCCACTCATATGTGTTTCTTCTGTCACTGCAATTCCATTCCAAGCATGACATGGAAAAGTAAATTTTTGACACGTTAAAAATACTGCACTAGTTGTGTACTGATTTCTACAGGCATCTCAGTCTCCTTTCTCATTAGTGGAGATTATTCCCAATTCACCAACCACATCTCCACAAAGTGCTGGATTACAAGCATGTACCCCGTCGTATCTTACAGACTTTTGTGACAAAATCGTACGTTTCTGAAAGACTAGACACGACTTGGTTTGTAGCATCACATCAATGAAAATTCCACACCACACACATTGCTTTGTTGTTAACGTGTATTGCTTGTTTATTTACATTATACAATCCACGTCATTTCAACATAGGTATGGAAAGTTCAAAAATATAATAGAGTGCATGTTTTTGTTTATATATAGCATGATTATGCAATCGTCTGTGACTTTAGCAGTGAAAATATTCAGAGCTTCCTCTTGGCCAGTTTCCACCAACTGAAGTATGTACGTTGCATTTTCTTTAAAATGTTATATATTTTTTTTAATTTATGACATGTGAATATGGAATTTATACCACAGGCACAAGGAAACACAATTTTACATGCAGTCTTAAGAGATAAGTTTTGTGGGCATGTGATGTCTTTTCATCACTGCATAAAATATCTCGACTTGGGTGAACAAATTCAGTTCCCCTCCCAGCCTGGTGATTCGATCATCGCAGCTTGCACTCGTGATTTTAAATACAGAGATACCCTGACTTTCGTCCACTTGACTTTCGTCGCTTCGCTCTTTCGGCCGTTTTCAATTATAACCACATTTCAAATTTCGTCCACGCGCTTTCCTCTTTCGTCCGATTTCATCCCAAATCTTCCACGACATTCGTGCCACGCGCCATCTTTTTCATTCAGTCTTTGAATAGAAGTCGTTCAGTGAGCATCTCTTATATTTGTGTTTATTCACATGATTAATACTGTACTTATTTCTGTGATTATACTATGAACAATTCATAGCTATTTTTGTGATAACAGTATAATACTAGTGTTCATAGTTATTTTCGTGATTATAAAACACGTGTACAGTATTCATGCTGTGCTTATTTTTGTGATTACTGTAAAATACTTTATTTTGTGCTTTAATATATTCATAATGGGTCCTAAGTGTGGTGATAGTAAAGCTAAAATAACTCATAAGGTTCTCAATTTGCAAGAAAAGCTTGGCATAATCAAACTTAACGAGCAAGGCTAAATAAAGCCTCTGCTTTGACATTCCTCCATTGTTGACATTCGTCCATGCTCTGGTCCCTAACCAGACGAAAGTTCAAGGTATCGCTGTAGATTTATTTTGTTACAGAGCAGTGATCGGTAGCGCCTCCAGTGGCTGGAATGGAGACGTTAACACATTGTATATATTCTTACTTGATGCACGTTTCATGAGCTGAAGAATTGATGTCAATTGATGGTTCGTTCACCCTTGCTATTTACTGCATAAGCTATCCACTGTATTCGCTTATGCATCAACTCTCAGCTGATAATCTCTGCGGCTTCCTGGAGGGTTATTTCCTCTGGCACAGATTTGCTGACTGGCTGTGTGGCGAGGAAGGCAATAGGTTGTACAGTTATCTCCAAATCGGGTGTAAACAAACGACACCCTACAACTTTACAACCTACTACCTCACCTCACCAACACAACAGTGACCACCGATGGCAACAGTGGCATTCATTACCCTGGTGTAGCCAGCAGACGGGGAGGCATGTGCCACCCAAGTCGACACAGGTAGATCGCAGAGGTCAAAATTCCATCCTTCTGCCCCTTTCATTTCTCAAGCATGGCGTTGGCAAAAAGGAGCATCAACGTTAAAACATTTGCGGTGGCATTTTGCCAATCACATCTGGTTTACACCTCCGATTAGTACGGTTGACTACGGATGGTGCGAAAGAAGTTCAACATTACATTATGATTTGTAGGTGCACGTGAAACAGGTAAAGATGAGTCAGGCAGTTGCTTGTTCACACAAATTGCTGGTAGAAGGGTGTCCACTAGAGGAACTTTTTGAGAGGCCCTCGATAATTATTACGTGCCCACTTTACCCCACCACACATGACCAACCTAACGAGATACTAACTATGGTATACACATGTATGGATGTTGAACTACTTTCACACTGTACGTAGCCAACTGTACTAATTGGAGGTGGAGAGAGGTGGGGCGGATTTAAAACATCTTGCCCAGGTCCAGCGTGCTAACTGTTACATCATGGCAACATCCAATTACAATTAACCATCACATTAATTTAGCTATTTGACATTTGTTTAAGCTATTGGTGCTACTGCCACCAGTTATAGAGTGCAGCACTATCACGAACAGGAGAGTCATGCATTTCTCATGCAACAGATCCACAATAAGAGAAGATGATGGGTTTTCTCTACTGTCTATTCATGTGTTCTTGAACAAGGTGAGAGAGCCCAATTGAGATCCTTTCATTGTCTATTGCAAAAGACAGAAAACATTAACTGAGCAATGTGGGATATTCTGCAGTTCATCATGGGTTGTAGACTGATAGCAGAGAACACATATATTAAAAATATATATATTTCACAAAGTCTTTGACATCACTTATCGCGTGGATGTACACTCCAGGTAATTTCATGCAAGAATTACCATGCAGCTTGGGAAATTGGAACATCGAGTTCATGCAAATCCATTAAGTGGCGAGCGAGCTGACCACAGTTAATTGGCCCCAATGAATCGACTATAAATTATCATAAATACATGAGCAATGAACAACAGGTGCCCTGCTTGGGGAAACTCTCAATCGATGCAATGATTTATTAATGATGACAGTGGGGCCAGTGTTGTCAGTTTGCACTCGTGACCCTTTTTGTAATGGCCTTTGATAAACATTTCAAGTTATGTATTTATGCAGTTTTTACAAGTCTCAGCATTGTTGGGGACAACATTCATTTTTTTATGTATTTGTTTAACGTGATGTCTATATGCTCCCTGCTGCATAAACCATTGTGGGCTATGCAGTACTATTATTCGTATTGTTTATCTATATTATTACAATTGTTTTCCCAGGAGAGCTTCACTCGGTCACAAGACTCTTTTTCAGGAGGGTCCTGCCAAGTTTTCACAGTAGTGTGGCGGTATTGCTGATATGTGTAATCCCAATTGAGTAATAGGGTATGGGATGTTTAACCATTTTCTGTTTTTTTTTATTTTCAGAAAACCAGGATTCGGAGCAAACCCATGCAGAACAGGGGCAGAACATGAAAACTCCACGGAGAAAAGCGTCACCATGGGAACCTTTAGATTGGTTTAACCTCTTAAGTCTTGTTCCAGTCAATATGCAGCGATTATAGACTTCCTGTTCGTTTTCCAAATGTACCTCTGCAGTGTCTCTGTTGCCTGTAAAATAGTCAGCTTTGAGCATTCATAAAAGTTTTGGAAATACATGTTCACATTTTTTTCAGCAAGTATCAAAGTATTAAACTATGTGCATCTTTCGTGTAAAGTTAAAGGCAAATGTGCAGCCCTGCAAATTCTTGCTCACACCACTGTTGGCAGAAGGGACTCCACTAGAGGGAGTTATAGAGAACCCTTGGAAGTAATTTGGCCTACTCTTCCATGTTAGCAAGACATATTGGGGAAAGGTGGGAGTCCTCACGCTTTGCCCCACCATGGATGGATGCGAGGGGATTTAAGATACTTGCACCATGGTTTCAACTGCTGTGCCAGGAGATCAAACTGGCGACCTTTGGATTGTAAGTCGATGTACTGGCCATTGCACTACAGCATCATCCTGACGCTTTATGTAAATGTTCTTTTTCAATAAACGACTTAAACATTCAGGGGAATTAGATTCTGTAATGATAGTCTGTCTGTTATACCCATAGGTAGTAGTGTGCTGTTAGTGAGACTACTGCCATTACTGTTTTGTAAATGCAAACAGTTCACAGATGTGTAATATCCCTTTTGGGGAAATCAACCAGCCAGGTGGATGTTGTAAGTGGTAAGTTTGTTGCCACGGTGACATAGTCCAATAAGTCAAAAGGCAATACAGTACTGCACTTGTTATAATCTCTTGTTAGAGATAATTAACTTCACAGTTTTAAACTGTCATGGAGAGATGTATGCTTGTATATTACATTAAGAGCCAGAAAGAGGAACGTGTAGATTAGGCTAATGACATGATTGAAACTGTTAGGAAATGTAAATGGGCCTGGAAAGGACATGCTGCTGGAAGGAATGATGGCTGGTGGTTCAGAATAACAAAAGGAGTGGCAGCCAGGGAATGGAACGCTTGTGAGAGGATGTTCACCGAAAGAAACTGAGCGATGAAATCGGCTCGTGTACAGGTGCTATGTGGGTTATCATTAAGATTGTGGAGTCGTAAAAGATGGTGTCAGTTTGGGGGGAGGCCTTCATCCAGCAATGGCCATGGCTAAGGGTGATGTTTGTGTGTGTGTGTGTGGCCATGTGCTGTGCTGCACATCTCAACCTGGTGCTACGGCGGCGTTTGGTGGATCATAAAGAAACTCCGATGTGCTTGGGACATCCGGCTGCAGGGCTACCTGGTACCAAGAGAAAGCAGCACCGCAAGTAGGTTTCTCACCAATACGTATTAATCATCACCTTGCGTGTGTGTGTTTTCACCTTACGTTGTGTTTTTTCTTTACAAAAAAGTACAGTATTGGCTGGACCCTCATCGCAACATGTTATTGTGAATTATTTGAGGCTTCCCTGCGTAAAGTGCAATTGTTTCTAGTCATGATTAATAAAAAAATAAACACCGTGTACTGATTGAGACAACATTTTTGGCAAAATGTCCTTGCACAAAGGCACTATAATACATACCTCATAATTTGTTTATAATTTCATTTTATAAATCTTTCCATCGTAACCTCAGTACCTCATAAGCAACAATTTAACGTTTACAATCGACTCTTATGCTCTTATGAAAACAATACATCCATTTAATCCTGTGCCTAAGAGTACAATATGTAATTGTATGCAAATTCTATGAAAGTGATTTGCACATGTTACATTTAGGCTACTAAAGAAAATGAGACAAAACAAGTGAAGCAATCGACACGTGTTCGTAAAATGAGACGTAAATATATTTTTTAAAATTTAAATTATGACCATTAATAGAATCATGGGTTGTGGTTAGGCCTCGGCAAGGTAAGGTAAAAGGTAAAAACAACGAGCTTACCTTTACCCTACCTTTTACCTTACCACAATACAATCACTCTACCCTACCTTTTACCCTTTAGCAGGTAAGGTAAAAGGTAAAAAGCAACGAGCCGACCTTTACCCTATCTTTTACCCTTACCCCATACAAATTACCCAATTACTGGGGTACTACACATGGAACAGGTTTATAACGGTAAATGCTAGGTAGAGCGCTTTATTCATATAGAATACTTTCGTTTATTCCAATTTTACACGCTTTCTTTTAACTCACTCTGTTGTTGTTGTCGTGTCCTCAAATCTTGTAACTCAATTTTAACCCATCGACAGCAAACTTGGTATACTTATGTCATACTAATGACAATACTATATTCTATCATAAAAAATGAAAAAATATCTATTTTTAAACATTATTTTTTAGATGTTATGTTTCGGCTTGGGTCTAATTGTCCACGGTCAACTGACGTTGGCTGTAATTGTCCACGGTCCCCTTACATTATGGTGAGCTTTGGGGCCACTTCCTGTAGTCGTGGCGTTCTGCATTACTAGTACATTCCATAAAAGCGTGTTTTAAAAGTTTTTTTTAAATATTACTGATTAAATGGAAGCCACGAACTGCGTCACGAGCTTTTAGCAGTAAACAAGGTACCGTATTTACCGGGTAATACTTCGCGCTACCTTTACCCTACCGGGTAATTCTTCCGAGCTACCTTTACCCTGCCCTTTACCTTACCCCTTGGCATGTCGACACCTTTACCCTTTTATCCGGTAAAAAGGGTTAATTACCTTAACTTGCCGAGGCCTACTTCGGGTGGATCTAACTACTTACATTCCGACCCAGTAGTTACAATGTACAATCATGCCATAGGGAATAAATGTACCTTACAACACAGTTTTAGATTTATATAGTGCCCAACGACAAATGCATCTCAACATGCTGTCTTGAGGTGCCAAGATAGAATTTACTTATTGATTCTCATGGCCTTTTGTAAAATGTGCGCTGAGGCTTCCTTTACAAACCAATATCATTTTATGGCTTATTACAATTTCACCCACACTGTCCGCACTCTGCTCAGATCTCAGAAGCTTAAGCAGCGTTGAGCCTAGATAGCACTCGGATGGGCAATCACCGTGCACCACCAACGTAGTCATAGGTGACTGCAGAGCTGTGCTACGTTGTAGGCAGCAGAGGACATGGCGGGAAAAATCCGTTGTATTGCACTTCTCGGCTCCCCACATTCATGCCTTCCAGCTTTAGCAATCCAGCAACTGACCAGCTTTGAAATACGGTTAAATAATCCCCGCGACCCACGTGGTGTGGCAAGGCCCTCTCTCAGCAGTGGCTTCACAAAAGTACTAACATGTACATAAGCATTTCAGAGTTTACATTATTAAAATACCAATTCATCCAACACTGATCATCTCGGTGTGTCCGATTGGCCTGGGTGTGACAGTATTCTACTAAAAATTAAGTTATCTCCGTGTTGTGACACACTGTCATCACACAGATGCATTACAATTGCAACTACTGTTTGATAATGCTCGGATAGTTAATGTGTTTTGATCTATCTTCATAGCAGTGTTTGTGTAACTACTAAATACAGGTAGTGTGCTGCTGCATTAGTTATCTACAGTCTGTTTATTTCTCTCTCTATAGAGTATGTCATTCTCAAATGTGTTGGTGATCCTGACCATCCATTTTCCTTGGTCCATGATATTACTAAAGAACTATGCATTAGATACTCCTAGTTGCATGAGATTGTTAAAATTTCTTACTTAATTTCTGTGTCTTCCCCAGCTTTGTGTACCTATCATTTCACCAGATATATTTTTAATTAACTATAGCATTTATGAAGTGTGTTCAAAAAGGGCAGAATACAACTATTGTTTTATCTCCCAGTCGGCCACTTGTGGTATAAGATTGTTAGCTCAAAATTGTGTGAAATTAAATTAATTGCTTTTGTTCCACATAGAAGTCATGTGCTATGCATGGCTACATTTCGTAATTTTATGGACAGATTTATTTAGAATAGCGTTATTTAAAATGTCGCTTGAATCTTAAAGAACTCTATAGGAACAAAGTAACTCTCCAAGAATCTAATGGGACATTTAAGTGACCAAATCGAACTTTACAATTCTTCATTGATTCTTATTGCACTGTTACATTTTCTTCAACTGATTCTTGATCCACGATTGAAAATGATATCGAATGCCTGGGCATCTGGCTAAATGACCATCTATATTGTAACATACCTAATACTAAACTTTATAACGAAATGAAACTGAAGTTAAGGCTCTTGAAATGTTTTTCTTGAACTACTTAGGACCAACTTGGTGTTGTCTCCGTTTCCACATCAATGTGTGAAGATTCAGTTTAGCAGACTGTTTTGCCTAATCCATACACCGTTCAACCATCATTCTGCAAGTCACAACATAACTATTTCGGCTTCTTCCTTCACATTGGTCAACCTTCAAATTCCTTCCCATCATCACTTTTCCCAAGCACTCAGGGAGTGTTTTATCAAGTGATGCTTGGGACATTTGTCCAATTTTTTACTCAGTTTCCTTGCTTATGAGAAGCCAAAACATTACACAGAGACTACCGTTGCATACAGAGAGTTAACACTTAAAATTTTGTATAGATAGGTCACCAACCTACTTCATGTACTGCCATTGTATAGACAGGCCTCCATAGCCCAACAGATGGGGTGTTTGACATACAGGGCGATGCCTGTCTAATACACTAGCCCTGCATTATTAAGATCGTCACTATAATATATTAAAAGTCATTCATTATTACCAAGCAAACTACATTTGTGTTTTTCTCAAATGCATTCCATTTTAACTTGTAACATATTTTTTATGGATTGACAAATTCTAGGTTTGCATTCCACTGTGTGCAATAATTAAACATTCTAACAATAACATGTCCAGCATCGTGTATACATATATATACTTAAGCATTGGATTCACAGAAAAAAAAGTCAATAAAATATGCTTTTTCATGAAATACTATTAATCAAAATAAGCAATAGGTCGATTAATTTAAAAATATCTGTTTGTCAAGAAATGTCAACATGCTAAATACGTCAATGAAATAAACATTGGCGTAAATACTTATCTTAATGTACTTATTACCCACATTCATTTGAAATGTTATGCACGAGATAAAATAACTGAAGTTGATATAAACACAACAGAGTAATCTGTTCAGACTGGACGTGAGTGGCAAGTCTACAAACCGATGCTTTTCATGGTAATCGTCCAAAGAAATGGAACTGAACCCAACACACCGCATAGCACAATACCTCCAAAGCATTTTTCTTGACGATTGGCGATTCCCTGGGCATGCAGCCGTTGTGTGGCTTGTGAGTACAGTACTGAGGCTCATCTGTGGTGCAATTGTCACTGCTGTAGATTGGCGCCCTGCGGTGTGTGGCAGGCTGAAGTCTGGATCGTAACTCTGGCTTGATTCGTTGTTTAGTCGTGGCTTGGGCAAGACAGTAGATTGTACAGTTATCTCCTGAACGGGGTCACACTCCCCAAACTATACAACCTACTACCTCATCCCACGCGCACGTGCACCCCAAGCCACTGCCGCCATCGCTTCTGCAAACCATTTACTGCTGAGCAAAAACACATGGAATAAAAACTACATACTTCATACAGTATACAAGGCAGTAACAAATTACTATGTTAAAGTACTCGAAGGCACAAAATTCGTTTAGCGCCGTTTCTGCATGAACCAGAAAACATGAAAATAGTACTGCACTGCAACAGAGGACAGTACTGTATGTACATACTGTACATCATCAAAGCCAGTTCTATTGACACAACGTATTTACCAGACATACAAGGGCAATGTTTTTAATCAAATCATATCTCCTTCCCATGACGGTACATTAATGAGATTTTTTCAATATATATGTATAAACATGCCAATGACCATAACTTTGTTGGCGCCAACATTTCTCCTTTGCCCCGCTAGCATACAGGCTGCGCGTAAGTAGCCCAAATTTTTGGGTGAAGTCCAGCCATTGTGTTCGGTGCCAGCTCGTGCAAGCGGCAAAACAGTGGCACGTTTCATACGACGGGAGTATAGCGCTACCTGATTGAGTTGGGGGGCTTCCTCCGATGTTAGAAAGTCAGTTTTTTCCCCCTCGAAGGCGTTGAGGCGACGCTTGCCCTGGACGGTAGGCCGGGAAACCCCAGAGCAGTGGCTCGCAAGGCAGGGCCCGCCATTCGCTCAAAAAATGGAGCGCTCCATATCCCTCCATACTGTTTCACTGCTCATACTGTGGCATGCAAATAACGTCAGCAACAGGACGTAGAAGGCTGGCGGTTTTTACTCGGCCCATACTTATTCGCTGCAGGTTTGACGATAACATTGTTCAAATAACAGCGCTGTA